CGTTAACGTGTAAAACAGGCATTAAAATATCTAAATTTCTGTGTTATTCCTGAAAATGAAGTTCATGAAATCACATTACGTCAATCTCAGAAAAAAGTTCCTATTTGTCTATTAACTAACCTCAATGAACGTCTGCGTTAGTAAATACCAGCTACTCAGTCGCACATGAATGTCTTGACAGCGAGTTCGAACCCCACTGCAATCGATGTGATGCAAGGTACTGCATAAAATAATCCACGATGAACTATGAAGGCATGATCGCTTCACTCGTTTTAACTGTATTTTTAAGCTACATATGTAAGGAGGTTCCTGGCAAGTCATTGTTTCGGGACTTTATTGGCATTAACTAGTCCAAGGCTGAAATCTAATTACTGCTTTATTCTGTGGGCACAGCTCTAGTGGGCACAACGCAAATTCGCAACAGATTATTGCTTAGATCGGAACAGAAATTGTCCTGTTCGTGTGTTTATATGCAAAGATGGCACCTGCAGTCGATTACCGAGAGTTCCCCAAGTTCGCCTTATAGGGTTAATTTATTTCAAACCTGTAATTTTGTGGATTGGTTCTGATTACAAAACGGCAAAGTTAGGAAAACATATCCTCTAATCTTGCGCAAATCACAGTCAGGTGTTTCCCGAAGGCCAGTTACCAAGATTTCATGGCTTGTTCATTTGACTTTCTGAAAATTTGCAGGAACTACAAACAATCATCCCGTCAAGAAGTTGCATTAGGCCAAATTATTCAAGGTACAATTGAGCGTTTTGGAAAGCTTATTCTAGAGATTCTTAACCAGGTAAATTTCTGTGGTTGACTATTGGGTATATCAGCATAAGAACGCCAGCTAATGGCAGTGGAACAACGCGTGATCAGATATTGCAAACTATGGGACCTCCCAAATTAGCATCAATTAGCCTCGACTATCCTTTGATAAATTACACGTTAAAGACGAAAATAACATCAAAGCGACTCATTTGAATTTAACTAAAAGCAAAAGTCAAGGATTGTCGTTGCTTCAGGTTCACTAACTTCGTGTAGCAATGCCAAAATTCAGGACATTCAGTAGTGAAGGGGATTTTGCGTAAGCTGCAAGATGTTTCAAGATGGTCTGCATGAAATTCACCCCTGGCACACATCGACGACCGGATTTACGCTTTGACTGCGTCCGCGTCCAAATAGTGTGGGCAGTTATTCGTGGTATTTTCCATTATCTTTCTGACTAAAAACTACGATTCAAAACAAATGTACTGGCCAAACTTAATCACATTCTAAAAACTAATTGCATTTCATCAATAGCCTGAAGTCCAGACGGCTGAAGTGAATTGGAGAAATGTTTTCAACGCTAAACGCAGATTGTTATAATGACAATATGTGATTCATGGACGAAACATGAGCATCACCTACGGTATTTCTAAGATAACTAACCAATGTTGTGGAAATGTTGATTCTATTTTAGAGTTTGTTCCGGAACCTATAAAATGCGATACGCGAATTCCTATGTAACAGCATGCAAATTACTAAAGTCAGAACGCTTAAATCAACACAGTCTCATAGAGATTCTCATATTATCGAAATTTCGCTTGGCCTTGCCTATAGAACACCCAAAACTGCAAGTCAGATGTTGTAGTCAGTGTGTCATTCTGCATTTCGAGCCAACACATTAGCTGAAGTATATGTTTAGTGGTGAAGCACTCACGACAAAATTTGGCCTGTTTTCCATTAAATACTCTACTCAGATGCCAACCAATATCTAGCCAACGAATCTACCCAGATGCACGAAATTTAATGCTGCGATGTCTACCTCGAATCTCAACATGGCCACTTCGTTGCTTTGATCAGGCTAAAAAATGTAGACTTCCGGTAATTCGACAAGACCAGAGATTGCAGATGAAACCGTTTAATCGATGTGTTGGAGTGTGCACGTACGTAACAATGTGCTGTGTATTGGATGTCACAGTATTCACGCAAGTCTCACTGGTGTCCAGAGGTGACAAGGCAAATTTATGCCGATGGAAATAGGACTGCAAGATGCGTGATATCAGCAGACGTGGAACTGTGCGGAGTAGCGCATGATAGAATATGTCCACATGAACAATGAAGGCGCCACATTGAAGATTCAGGGCATCAGCGTGTGCGCGGGAGTTGACGCACGAGAATCACTTCGATTCATTCCACGATCAATCTTGAAAATACATGGTCGAATGAGAGGGTTGACATTGACAATCAAGACATATTGCATCCTCCGAGTGCTGCAAGAGAAACAAAAAAAATCTTGTTAGAGCTGTAACCTGTTGAGTCATGAATAGTATTAATTGCCATTCTCTTCTCTTGGTTCAACTTGCCCTAACCTGCTTCATTTACACAACGCATTCATTTCTCCTGCAGTCAAAATTTAAACACAGTCGCAGTCGCTATAAGTGCAAAATAAGCACTATTGTTTGTTGATTAAAGGTAACGAGAGTCTCAGGGCTGTGAAATAATGTGGACCAACATGGAATTCTAACTTGACGTGAAATCGACGTCTCCTCCTGAAGCATTTTGCACAAGCAACGTTAAAATAGTTTTATTCGATTGAATTAAATACGACAAGAACAAATATGATTAGTGAGGGATGTAATAGGTGCCAAACGTGATTAGACGCACACTTTGTTTAAGCCATTCTACGGACAAATCGCAGTATTTAAGCAGCGAAGGTGTTATTGCGGTGCTGCTCCCCGAGGTTACCGCCGCCTCTTTGTGGGTCTGCGAGAGCTGCCCATTATGGGGCAGCCAACAAACGGTTCGTCTGTATTTGCATTTAGTTGTTCGATGTTATAATGATGAGGGCTGGGTAACAGCCTCTACCAATTGAATCATTTGAACACTTTGGTTATACTATTAAGTGCATCGAGTCCACACTGCGTTGCATAGCATTTGCAGTTGGGTTTGTTCTAGGATAGCGTTCGATCAGTTGATGTTTTTTTGGCATTTTGAATGTGTTAGCTCTTGACGAAATTCCCTCTGGTATTATGGCACCCGTATTACAGCAATAGTTTGATAATCGAGCTAGAAATTCGCCTCACGAATCGCGTAGACGCATGCGCAAGGAAAGAAGATGATTAATTGGAAATGTTGTTTCAGTGGCCTAAAAATGGCCTACTCTGATGGGTTCACCAACGCTCGCACAAGTTTCAACTCATGCATAGAGGACATTTAATTTGGTCTGTATCATTGGAGTCTACTTGGTAACGGGTTAAAAGCGTGCCAAGTGGGTCTACGTTAGTGTTTGCCCAATACTGAACAAATCGGCCAGAGCTTCTTACCTTCAATGATTATGCTCTGTTTGGAGGGGAGTTGGTCAGTTGTCGTATCCGGTCTTCACGAAGAGATTTGATGTCGCTATGGATGGGGTATTTGCCACCGTGTAGTCGTACATTCATGCACTAGTGGTGATTTGCATTGTGACGTATTAATAACCCTCTTGTTTGCACATGGGTGAGCAGGTTTCGAGAAACCGTCGTTGGTTCAACAGCGTGCCTTCGGTGAGATAATGAAGGGACGAGATGTGGTGGTTCAGGCCCAAAGTGGATCGGGGAGAGCAGCCACCTTTTGCATCGGCACTCTGCAACGCATGGAGTGTTCCAGGAAAGAGGCACAGGCTCTGTTCATAGCGCGGACACGAGAACTGGCATTGCAGATCCACCAGGTACGTCT